AGTCGATTTTTTCGTTTGAAAAAAGAGATACCACACCAGGACAGAACTGATCCGGCAGATAAGAAGACTGCTTCTTTGATGTTCCCAAGGCGGAGTTAAAAATGCATTCCAAAAATTCCCCAAATATCACCTCCCCCCCAAAATTTTGTTCGTGATCAGCGAACCAAAATTATCAAAAATCACGTGGGGAATGCAATTTAATTCCCGATTACCAGGTTAAATTCTTTTTGTGTGGGTTTTTTTTTCACCATTCGGCCCGCACTAGGCCTAAATTGCATCTTTTCGATGGATGAGATTGAGGTTGCATGTGCCTGCACTCTGTTGCTTCGTATCAGAAAAAAGAAAGGGAAAATAGTATTGGGTGTATCCTTTAATGGACCAAAGATTACTCAAGGGTAAATTCTATAGGCTTTATGGTGACCTCCAATGTTATCCTTTTTTTTTTTTCGAATGCTACAGAATTGTATGTCAGGTCAGCCTTAGTGCTGCTACCATAATGTCAGTAGATAGTACTACTTGCAGCTGTTCCTACTGCCTTGTAGGTGCATACGGGAGTATGAAAGGTTAAGGGAGTAAACCCTAAACAAATCCGGCAAAAGCAGACCAACTGTTTCTCATGGGCGACTTCAATGCAAGAGTAGGTACTGAAAACAAAGTATGGCCCACCTGCCTTGGACCTTTTGGGCTGGGAAAAATCAACGAGAATGGTCAGAGACTCTTAGAATTCTGCACAAATAACAACCTTTGTGTCAGTAACACCTTCTACAGTGGCAAGGACAAACACAAGGTTTCTCGGTGCCATCCAAGATCAGGCCATTGGCACCAAATTGACTTCATAATCGTCAGAAAGAAAGATGCCAACATGGTAAAGCAAACAAGATCCTTCTACAGTGCAGACTGCAACACAGACCTCCTTTTAGTTATAGCTAAGGCAAAGAGAGTCACAAGGAAAACCTCAAGAGCTGAAAAACAGAAGAAACCTAAGATCAACATAAGAAATACCAAAGACCCAGCGTTAGAGGCAAAATTTCAAGAACATGTTAAAGAAGAGCTCCAACACCTAGATAGCTCATCCCCAGACAACATGTGGAATAGCATGAGATCAACAATTTATAGTTCTGCGTCGATTACTTTTGGAATAGAAAGACCTTACAAGGAGGACTGGATAGAGGCCAGTGCATCAAAACTCGCACCTCTACTTGAGAAAAAGCGTAAGATTCTGATAGAACACAACACAAAACCAACAGAGAGTACAAGGCAACAACTACGTACTGCTAGATCCAACCTTCAAAGAGAAACCAGAAAGTGTGCCAATCAGTACTGGGAAAAGTTATGCTCAGAAATTCAACAGGCCAGCGATACAGGTAATATCAGGAAAATGTATGAAAACCACAGAGTTGCTATTGGACCAACAGCAAGCAAAGTGGCACCTCTAAAGTCTGCGACAGGTGAACAGCTGACAGACAAGAAGAAACAAATGGAAAGATGGGTGGAACATTATTCAGACTTATACTCAGAGGAGCGACTTGTTGATAAACAGCTACATGAGGCCATTCCTCAGCTCTCCGAAATGTCAGAACTTGATACAACACAAACAGAAGAAAAACTCTCCTCTGCAATCGATGAACTCGCTTGCAGAAAAGCAGCAGGAAATGACAACATATCTGCTGAAGTGCTGAAAGAGAACAAAGAGACTCTCCTCCCATATCTCTACAAGCTACTAACGACTTGTTGGCTGGAAGCAGAAATTCCACATGACATGAGAGATGCCAAAATCACCACACTCTACAAAAACAAAGGGGACAAAGGATATTGCAACAACTACAGAGGTATCTCACTGCTAAGCGTCACTGGAAAAGCTTTCGCTAGGATCATCCTGAAGCGACTTCAGAAACTAGCAGAAAGAGTCCTACCAGAGAGCCAATGCGGTTTCAGATCAAACGCTCAACAATGGACATGATCTTTTCTATTCGTCAGCTACAAGAAAAATGCATGGAGCAACGACTGCCATTACATACTGCGTTCGTCGATCTGACAAAGGCTTTTGATACAGTCAGTAGATCAGGACTGTACATGGTGCTTGGAAAAATTGGCTGTCCCCCAATACTGCTACAGCTCATCATCTCATTCCACGAAGATATGAAAGCCACTATTCAGTTTGACGGTTCAACATCAAACAGTTTCAACATCAATATCGGAGTAAAGCAAGGTTGTGTCTTAGCACCAACCCTTTTTAGCACTTATTTTGCTGTCTTTTACTGCAACACGTATTCAAAGAGTCACCAGGGGATGTCGTCCTCCACTGGAGAACTGATGGTTCGCTCTTCAATCTTGCTCGACTCAAGGCCAAGACCAAGATTAACAAAACAACAGTACGAGACCTTCTCTTCGCCGATGATGCTGCTCTTGTTGCTCACAGTGAATCAACCCTACAAACAATGATGGACCACCTATCAACAGCATGCAAGGTCTTTAGCTTGGTCATCAGTGTTAAGAAAACAGTCATCCTTTGTGGCGTCGGTGGCCTAGTGGTTAGGCTCTCGAACTCGCAACCGTAAGGTCGTGGGTTCGAATCCCGTCAGGGACCCAACGTTGTGTGCTTGGGAAAGGCACTTTACACGAATTGTCCCCACTTCACCCAGGTGGGAATGGGTACCCGGCTATAGACAGCGAAAGATCTTGTCAGTTAGTGATTGAGCGCTTAATCAGCTGCTTGCACTGTATGCTTCCCGGGAAGCTGAGAATGTTTCGGAGTGTTTTATGGTCTGCTGGGGTAATAATATAGTGTAAAGCGCATAGAGCCTGCTGTTGAGCGGGGATATGCGCTATACAAATGCTATTTATTATTATTATTATTATTATCCAAACCCAAGAAGGTGCAGAGCAGAGCCATATATGGCTGAACGACAAAGAACTTAAGACAGTGGACACGTTCTGTTACCTGGGGTCTACCATCAGCTCTACAACATCACTTGATTATGAGATCAACATCAGGATAGGGAAAGCAGCAACAACTTTTGGTAGGCTGACAAAACGAGCATGGGAAAACAAAAGATTAACCATCAAAACAAAGATCAAGATTTACGAAGCATGTGTCCTCGGCACACTCCTTTATGGATCTGAAACATGGACCTTGTACAGCAGACAAGAAAAGAGCCTCGACATTTTCCATCTCAGATGCTGCCGCAAGATCTTAGGCATTTCGTGGCGTGACAAGGTTACAAATGTTGAAGTGTTGGCACTCGCAAACCTCCAGAGCATGGCAACTATCCTGTGTTTAAAAAGATTGAGATGGCTTGGCCATGTCAAGAGAATGGATGACAACCGGATTCCCAAGCAACTTCTCTATGGAGAACTTGCCCAGAGAAAGAGACAAAGAGGAAGACCAAAATTGAGGTACAAAGACACCTGCAAAAACAGCTTATCTAAGCTTGGAGTAGATTTTAACATCTGGGAAGAAATAGCTGAGGACGGAAAACATGGAGGAAAATGATAAAGGAAAGGAAAGAACTAAAATGCTAGAGAACAGCCTTAGAAACAACCAGGCTGAGGAGCGCCAACGACGAAAGGAAAACAGCGGAAATACAGAGCTTCGATCTACGACACTGACATGCAAGCACTGCGACAGAATCTGTGCTTCAAACACAGGAAGAATTAGCCATGAAAGAAGCTGCATGAAGACAACCTTGAGACCATCTTAAGCTAAATTGACCGTCTGCATGGACGAAAAGAGCCATACATACAGAATAATGATCAAAAGCTTTGACAACTAACTACCTTTGAATTTTCTGTCCTCATAAGACAGGCCTTGCTATCCCAGGACGATTGTTTCACATAGGCTACATCTGTCCATGCCTTGGCTTTTGCCTCTCGATTACAATGGTCAACATCAGTCTTGTTGTACAAATATGGTTTTCTTTCCACTGCACAAATAAAGTTTTCTATCCAATTTGGATATCAACATCCATTTTGATAAGAATTTTAACACTTGACAATAGACTGTGTACTTTAGATACAACTGAGCGACTGCTGATGAAAGAAAAAGGTGCAGAAAATGAGGTTAACACAACAGTGCAAGCGCCACGACCTTGACAGCAGGCACCACCAAATCTGGGACAGTTTTGTACTGATGTGGTAGGTGGCTAAATTTTTCTAAAATCACAGACGATACTACCTCAGGACAGGACTGTCCTGTCTCACTGATTTTGTAGCAATGTACAACTGCTCAGGACTCAATGCGACTAAAATGTCCTGTGCTCAGAAGTGTGGTACATTATACTCCAGTTAAAAGGTTTCAAACTTCAGACTGGTCTGTCCTGGGACGGGACTGTCGTAGTGCGGTAGGGGCCGAACTGCGTCAGAAAATCACCTGCAGTACATTTTTTTTACTTATGTACATGCACAAGGAGACTTACACATGCAACCTCTACACAGAAGTAGATACACACGCACTCTTTCTCTCACATCCCACCCAACTATCCATACACATACGAAGCTACCAACCAATATGTAAAAAATTCATTTAATACATTTTGAGGGTCTGTATGTAAATATTATACTTTTGTGCCAGAAAATAAGTATTCCCTGTTTTCTTGTATTGCTTCTCAACGACTTGCCAATGCTAAAAAAAAAAAGATAAACTTTCCCAACTGGATTTGCGAATAATAATAAGAGGGAAGCCCATACGTAAATAAGAGAGTAAATTAAATGTAAATTAATTAGAGGTCTGCGTGAAGTAGTATGAATTTATTGCATACAGAAAAGTGAGCGAATCGCGAAAGGTTGGAAGGGAGGTAACTTGTCCAATGTTCACCATCTTGACCCACCACATATGTCACATATGTAGAGTCTGTATTTTGATTTTGAAGAGTTGGCAGCAATGCACCTACATGTTGCACACACTCACACAACACTCTGCACCCACTCTCAGACACACCCTACACATTAACTTGAAAAATCACATACTACATGCAAGCACTAAATAAAACTAAAGAAAGTCATAGAGCATAATATTGGTGTTTATTATCACATTTTTAAATCACTTTGAATATTTTGTATAAGGAGTAAAAAAAACAACATATTGGAATGTCACATTAGCTCAAAGCATAAACTTGAGACTATATATGGTACATATTTTGGCATAGTTTTTGACATGCATAAGGTACTTGGACGGACCAGACATTAATATCGCGGTACATAAAAATTTGTTAACTCTTCCATTTTAGCAGATGAGGATTTAAACTTAACTTTCAACAGTAGAAATTTCATATGGAATCTACATCTAAAAGACTTTTACAAGAACTATCTCATTCAAAATCAATAAATTATCACAGTGAGATAGAAAACACATATGGCAGTCAAACTGCGGAAAAGCTCTTACATAAACAGAATAAAAGAACTATCTATTACAAAAATGACAAGCCACAATACATACATATTTTCCCTATCCACATTGGACACAGTTTCCCTATTGTCAAAATTTCTTGCTACTGGTACACTGCATATCATATAGCCTTCATTCTGCCGCAGTAACAAAATCGACTCCACCAGGACACTCGCTCAGATGACATCATCACCCAAGGCGTCACACAATGTGGCAATCTTTCTTGCTCTGATGGCATCATCACTCTATTGGCTTGCCGGGACAAGCACACCATTGATTAAGGAAGAACAGAATTGTAAAGGAATAATTCTGCATTCAGTCAACATCAAACTTCTGCATCCACTCTAGCTGTATCTTCATTAAGACCTTAAAATCTCAGCCAGTCCTGCATCATTGTCGTAAGACCAGCAGCAAGACTTGTCACTCACTTATTGTTTTACTTTTTACTGATAAATAAATGCTTTATAACATATCTTCTTCTGTAAATAAAAAAAAACAAAAAACAAACAAACAAACAAACAAACAAACAAACCAAAAACAGAAAGAAAAAACCCAAAATTTTTTCACAAGGTTCAAAAGCTCAGCAGTAGTTTTGACCTCGGCCTGTGACCCTGTTTCGTGACCTTAGACCTGCAGCAGGAGTGCAACTCCTCCAAGGACCCACTTGCTGGGCTTCTCCTTGGACTTGAGGTTGAAGGTCCAGACAAAGGTTGGGCCTCGGCTCTTGGTCTTGTAGACGGGACACTCGTATACACTACGGACGTCCATGCGGTCCACAGGGATTGCCTTGATAAACATGACGGGCATTGGTGGTGCGAGATCTTTGAGGCGAGCCTCTCCGATCATACCAGTCTGCATGTCCCAGCGGGCACCTTCCATGAACAGACCGTGGACGTAAGCACCCTCACGAGGTGGGCCTGCCATATCCTCCCTTGACTTCTTTGTCACGTCACACTGCAGACACATGCGATCCAGTGGCCACTCATTCTGAAATGCACAAGAATAGTAAAGGACTTAATTAATTACCACTAACAGTTCAAAATTAATATATTTCGAGAATAGAATACAAAAAGAAAAGAAACTTATTTGGTGACATACCGCTACCTCAGAATTACAAAGTTCTATCTGCTCAATACTTAGTCTTGAGAAATTTGACGTCAAAAGTTTTGAGTTTCACAACATGTCAAGTTTTTCGAATGCAATTCTTTGAATATCTTGATATTGACTCAGAATATTCTTCTGATATTGATAGAGCAGATATAGCATTTGTTTTCTGACCTCATGGTCTTGGTAAATTCAAAACTGCCAAAAATGTCAGATAGAACTTTGTAATTCTGAGGCAGTTATACGCTAAACAAATACAACTTAAATTCATGTTACAGAGACAGCCCATGTGAGGTCATTAGTTTCAAATACGAAGACAACATGCATACACATAGGATATTTACCGACAAGAGAAATGCAATGGGAATACAGAAAGATTTTTAAACTGTCTTGAATAAAATAAATCAAGATTAATAGAACAACTGTGAAAAAAGATTACAAAGTCATATTGATTTTTTAAAAAAATGGACCAAAAAAAAGAATCCATTTTAGTACTTCTGCAACCATATTTTTACAACATAAAACCCTATTTTCCTTGTCATCAGTGCCACCCACACAACCCAAAGAGATTGTAGAAAAGACAGAGACTAGATTTTTGTCTGGAACAGAATGTAACCTACATGCGTGCTGACAAATCAGTTATTTTTCGCAGTCCACAAATTAATATATTGGCCAAAAATTGAAGGGTCAAATTTTGTAGGTTTTCAATGGATGCCATATTCTTTAACTATAACATTCCTTTTATTATTTCATACTTATAAATTGCAAAAACTTCACCTAAAAACATGGTGTTTCTATTTCCATCAGGCTTGAAACCGAGAAGTAACTCATTTTGTCAGCTTGCTTCACATATATATATATTATTTGTGTAGCCACGGATTACCTTTCTGGCCATTTGCTGCATAATGGCTGTCAGGAAACTCTGGGGGTTGAAGAAGCCACCCAGCCAGACAGCAGCTGGCAGCTGGAAGTCAGATGTCCATGTCTCCAACTCCTTGACCCTCTGCAGAAGGTCAGCATACCAGGCAGACAAGCCAAACAGCGATGGGTAGGCACGCTTGGCCCAGTTGGCTGGCACATTGTCCAGGAACAGGCTGTTGCTGAGATCTTCCATGTCTGCGGTGATGGTCAGCTCACCCTGGTGGGAAGGGGGGGGAAAAGTTGAGGTCAAGGTAAAGTTAAGCAGAGGTGCCAACTGGCTACGAACGGAAATACTGAACTTTTCAGACTCCATGGAAATTCACATCACTTTTTTAGTCAATGAGCCTGAAGCTGGGCAAAATCAGGACATTTTCAGAAATCCTGATCCTCTGGTTAAGGTAAAATCAAATTATCATGCGACTTTATAACTATTGAACAGAACCTGCAACTATCACCACATGATATGGGATCTAAGGAAGAAAGTACCAGCATTGGTGGATCATTATCAATAAAAACAGTAATTTTCATAGTCATAATGTAATACATGCAGTTGCTCATATTTATCAGAATGTAAGAGAAAGAGTGTGCATATTTATACATTTGCAAACAGGGATCACAAAGTAATATCTAGTACACGTCTTTCAACCAAACAATATGGAGAAGACATGGTTTTGAAAATCTATTTCAGCCGCACACTGTGGATATCCTTTGTTCATGTAACCCTAGGCTATAAAGCAATGCCAAAACTGTTAAATGAACGATAATGCTTTCTTTTCAGCATAAAAAATTTCATATCGCTCATGACAAAAGCGAATAATATCATAATGAACACCACTGACAACTAATGGCTATGATTGCAATGGTTAAGGTCTTATTGCCTCGCAAGCACAAGATATAGGTTCAATTCCCAAAAGGGGGAGATATTTTATTAATCCTCTTCATCTTTCTACTGAGATGTATTCCACACAGCTCGAGGTCACCCTGATGCCATGGCAGGGTCCATGCAGAACATCTCACAAATGAAGCAAATGATATGTACAGCAGCATAAAACATTTACATTTTTTTTAACAAGCACAACTGACCTTGAGACCAAGATCGAGTTCTTTGAGGGAGCGGCGTATCTCACTCATGAGCATGTTCATGCGTTCACATTCCTGGAAAGCGACCACGACGTAAGGAGTTCTCTCCTCCGGCGGCACCTTAGCCATGATCTCCACCATGTTGAACTCATCCGGAAGTTTCTCTACAATCTCATCCAGAATGGACTTGACCTGAATAGAGAATGACTCAAGTAGCTCATCTGCTCTTATCTACATCTGTTAACATCATTTAAGTTAAGTAGTGAGTACGATACATACCCATTGACAATGTCTTATGAAACACAATGACAGCAAAAGCAAAAAATTTACCAAAAGCTTGAAACAGTGACTTTCCCAGTTAATTCTAGAAAGTGACTAACTAAAGAAATAATAATATTCTCTATTGCCTTCATAAAACTTTTCATTTAAGAAATAATATTATGAAATGTTACCTTATTTCACACTGACATATTATATATATATATATATATATATATATATATATATATATATATATATATATATATATATATATATATATCTACATGTATGTGTGTATGCATAATTATAATGCATAATTATATTTCATGAAAAGTTCCACAGCAAAATCATTTTGTAGTTTATCACTTTTCACCCACGCAGCGCACAGAGCGGACCCCCACGGACCAGGATACAGGTGCGGTACATGCTATATCACACCGTCGCCAATCGGCGTCCTGGGGGGAAAAGGGACGGCTTCTTACCGTTGCCGATCGGCGTTCTGAGGGGGCATAGTGTTAATTTGTTTCATATTTAATATTAAAAGTTTCACAAATAAGTTCAAATTACTGCCATTTACTGACAGATTAAAAAGCCCCCCCAACTATATCATTGTTCTAGTTTCCTCATTTAGTTTTTATGCATACTCTCAGTCTAATTTTCTTCCGTCTACAGAAACTTATGTCAAAATGGGGTTACCTTCTCCTCACGACTGACTCCTGCGCCAGCACCAGCACCCGCATCTCGTGGCTGCATCTCAAACACAGTACGGAACAAGTTCTCAGATGTGGTGGTCAGGAACTCAATCTCAGCATTTGGATGCAGACCATAGAGGTATGGGCTCTCTGGAGGCAGGCACTCATCAATGTACGTGTGGTAGCCTTTGTAGTCAGAGTTGGGCGGGATTGGGAAGCTGGGAGCTAAGAACAGCTCACCGTCAAGCTGTTAAGAGAGAAAAAAAATAATTTCATGCTGTAGGTTTGCTTCTACAGAAAAAGTACTATAGAACTTTTCTGTGACCTCATTTTAGTCCAGGGAAAGTTGGAATTTATCAGTACAGTGGAAACCATATATATAACAGGCCCGGTAATAACAGGGATCTGGTAATAACAGGGATTTTTTAAATCCCCGTTTTTTCCTACTCTTTGTCTCTATTAAAAGTTATCGGCAAAAACAGGGCCTCATCGAGCCCAACCGGTTATAGCAGGGGCAAAGGCTAGTTAACAATGTGGAGAGAGAGAGAGAGAGAGAGAGAGAGAGGGAGAGAGTGTGAGAGAGAGAGAGAGAGAGAGAGAGAGAGAGAGAGAGAGAGAGAGAGAGAGAACGACCTCTTTCATTATTGCCACCAACGATGTCAAGCACAAGAGAAAATGCCTTTCAATTCGCAAAAAATACGAAATAAGTCAGACTGTTGACAAAAAGCAAGCTCTGCTGGCAGAGATTTGTCATCAGTTCGACATTCCACAAGGGTCAATTCCCACCATTATCAAGGATAGAGAGAAGATAGTGGCAGCATACTCCAAAGAAAAGTTTGCTCTGGATCGAAAGAAGATGAGACTACGCGATGCAGATGCTGTGGACCAAGCTCTTCTGATGTGGTTTAAGGACGCAAGGAGAAAGTCGGGGCAAAACCCCTGTTCCTGGGTACTTGTGGCAAGGGAAACTACCTATGAACAAGCACAGCTAGATTAGTCCACAAATGCTCACTTTCCTTGCATTTCTGATTTAACAGGGATCGGATATAACAGGACTTTTTCTCTACTCCCACCATCCCTGTTATATCAGGTTTCCACTGTATAAAAAATGCACATTAAAGGAAACATTTGCCTCGAGTAAAAGATGAAAGCTTGATAGCTTTTAAAGCTTGTGATGATGGGAAGGTGTTGCTTTTTTATGTGTTCACCATGGTGCTGCTGAAGTGTGTGTGTATGTGTGTGTGTGTGAGTGTGAGTGTGTGTGTGTGTGTGTGTGTGTGTGTGTGTGTGTGTGTATGTGCATGCATGTGGCTGTGTGTGTGTGTGTGTGTGTATGTGCATGCATGTGGCTGTGTCTGTGCAACAGAGAGAGTATACAGAGTGAGTATTCAAACAAACAGAATTTAAAAATTTGCTCACCATATCAGGATGCATGTAGACCTCCAGATATGTTCGGCAAAGTCGTCTGTCCCAATCATCAGTGATGTGGCCTCCGTACATAATTTCTCCAAACAGGTAACGCAGATCTTCCCAAGGTACCTGGCAATGACAAAACAAGAAAGACTTTACTTCCAAAGAATTGGTCTTACAGCTTACAGGAATAGAAGGAAATGAGACTACACTGATTGTGACGACCAAGCCCGGTGGCTCAGAAAATAGTCCAGCAGGGGACAGGGGAAGTCAAACTTTTCAAGAAGAGCAGTTTATCAACTGGGTGACAAAAAGCACAGACATAGTTGTACACAACCACAAGAATAAACCAAGCAAGAGAAGCATTGTACATAACATCAAAAGGATAGACTAAACAGTAATCTTAGATGGTCCATAAAGATAATAAACTTTTGAGTTGGTCTCTGAAAAAAGTTGGCTATTCAGAAAAATTAACTTCCGAGTTCATTTCTGACAAAAGATACTACCTGGATTTGCCCCAATTTTTTAAACTTTTAGCCAGTATAAGAAAAGAAAAGTGAATTTCTTCATGAGCTTGTAGAAAAAGTTAGCTTTGGAATTTATTCTACATAGTTCCATTTTCCTTTCCTCTCTCTCAGAAACCTGTGAGCCTCAAAGCAAAGTCCACAACTCTCGAGACTCACCTTGGCATTGGCTTCCAAGTAGTTGTACAGCACATTCATGCTGATGGTCAAGTCTCCCGTGTTGTATGGGTACACACGGTTCCAACCTTGAGGGCCGAACTTACGGCGCTCACAGACCACAGCATGGAAGTAGCACAGGGCAAACAGGATAGACTTGAACTCACTCTCACGAGCGCACATCTCAAGAGTGTCCTGAGATGGAGAGCAAAGCAGCAGAAAATGTTAGAAAAAAAAGATTGTAAACGTGTTGTGTTGCTGTGAGCTGTCATAGAGACAATTTTCCATTAATTAAAATGTGCAACTATACATGATGCAATTCACTGGGATGATGTTCAGAGAAAATTTTGCATTCAACAACTAAAGAATACAATAGGTTAATTCTATTTTCTTACACAATTGTTGCAAAGTTGGGAAGTAAAATCTCCATAAACTCTTTTCAGATGAAATTATATGAATTAAATATGAACATACTCCCCTAAATACTTGCAAGTTTGAGTGAAGCAGTTTAAGAGAATACATACTAAATACCATATCAAAATTTTCATGTCAGCCCTACAACTTTTGACAACAAAGTAAAAGGTGAGGGAAAAAAGTCATAACAAGTTTTTCCATCACAGCCTTTGTGCTATATGGACAATGCATAGGTACCACGGTAGAAGTAAAACTTCTTAAAGGGACAAACTGACGGCTTAATGTAAGACTATCCTGTACACCAATATGAAAAGTGATGTACGAAGGAGTCTTACACTGAGTATTTGAAATAAAGTTGTCAATAATTCTAACTCAACTGGTCACTATTTTCAGGAAAAAACTTGTCATTATTTTTTATGATAAAACTAAGCATTTATTTCCATGAATAGACTTGTAATTTCTTTTCATGATAAAGCTTATTTTTTACTTCCTTGAATGAACACGTCGGTGGCCTAGTGGTTAGGCTCTGGGACTCGCAACCGTAAGGTCATGGGTTCGAATCCCATCAGGGGCCCGACGTTGTGTCCTTGGGAAAGGCACTTTACACAAATTTTCCTCACTTCACCCAGGTGGGAATGGGTACCCGACTATAGACAGGGAAAGATCTTGTCAGTTTGTTAGTGTTTGAGCACTTAATCAGCTGCTTGCACTATATGCTTCCCGGGAAGCTGAGAATGTTTCGGAGTGTTCTATGGTCTTCTGGGGTAATAATATAGTGTAAAGCGCATAGAGCCTGCTGTTGAGCGGGGGTATGCGCTATACAAATGCTATACAAATGCTATTTATTATTATTATTATTATTACACGCTAAACATTTTACTTTTCTTCTCTATAGGCTCTCTCACCTGATTGAAGTTGTCCAAGGCCTTGTGCAAGTTGGCGTACATCCCAGTTGGCGGCTCATTTGTAATTTTGATGGCCGATTCCAGGATACCTTGGGGAATGATATGGGCATCCGGGCTACCTGCCGGCTCTGCACTGATGAACAGACGGTAGTTCTCGTGGCTCTCGGTGGAGAACTCTTCAATCTTCTTCTCCAGACGAGACAACCACTTGGCGACAAGATGGACGTTCTAGAAGAAAAGAAAGAATGTAATCCATGCAAAGGAAAAAAACTCACAAACTACTTGCTGTAAAAAATAAGTCTCAGAAACTATGTATAAACTTAGTATACAAAATATAACTCCGAAAGTATTACTAAATTTAGCTCACTTTCTGTTTTTCCATGCCCACAGAGACCTAAACACAGAGTAAATGAGTATATTTGTTTCACTTAAAAGAAACAAATGAATACAATGACCATCATTCAGGGTTGAGTTAAAGCAAAAGAAACACATATGAAATATCTTGTGTATCATCAACAAATTTCCACAATAATGGCTCATGTCAGACTAAGGTTAGAATAAAACCTGACCTACCAGAGCATCCCATTCATGATGGCCTACCCAAACGTCATAAAGTAGAGTAAATGTGCTAAAAACTTTCCCATTTTTATAAAAGAAATTACAGCAGCCTGGGTCAGGAAAAACAAGAAATCAGGCACCTTTTGCCAATTAGCTCATACCTATGGAGAACCACTTCGGTGGACCACTCTCTTAGCAGGACGGTGATATTCATTTTTACAAAGCAGGTTATTCTACTTTAGATGAAAATATTCAGACTGGCAGAATCTGAAACCACCACAAAAACTTCATTGTCTAGGATTTAGATTTAATTAATAATTGTAAAATGCATAAAGCATGCTGTAGTGCATGGACATGTTGTTGTTGTTGTTGTTGTTGTTTTCTTTTTCTTTTTCTTCTTATCATAGAGTAATTTTCAGTTTGAGTATACTCCTTCCACCCTTAAAACTACCCAGTTCCCAACAGTAAAGTCGTGTCACTGACATGCCTGTAGGAACTCACCTGCAAAACGACCCAGTGACCTTCCTTGGCAGCCAGGTCCATGGCTTGCTCAGCTACAATCTCTTGACCTTGACCCAGGGAGATGTTGTGGAAGTTGTTGCTGTCAGTGTTAAAGCCGAGCTTCTTGCCCAGGCTCTCCACATCCTTCAGAGGGTCCACACCAGGGGAGAGAATGAAGAAGATGGGCGTGGCTGGACCAGACTCTTCAAATGATTTGGCAAATTCCACAGCTCGGCCTTCCACATACTTGGTTCCCAGCATCTCCTCAATGAAGTTCCTGCAGATAAGGAGAAGGAATATCAGGGGTGGGAGAGAGATAGGGAGAGTGAGTGGAGGAAGAAAGAGGAGGTGATGGAGAGGGAAAAAGAAAAGGGAGGCAGAAATATAGAGACAGGGAGAGAGGGTGCAGGAGATTAAAACATCATTGATTGAGAGACAGACAGACAGACAGACAGACAGACAGACAGACAGACAGACAGACAGACAGACATGCAAGGCAGGCAAACAGGCAGCCAGACAGACATATGAAAGTCTACCATGCTGCTCTCCCACCCCAAACCTGCTAGTAACAGTGTAACAAAGCCATAATTTCCATATGACATGTCTCAGGAGAATTCTTGGCATCAAAATTCAGGACAAAATATCAGACACCAAAGTTCTCAAGAGGGCAGATGCTAAAGGTTTCCTAAGCTCAAAAGGACTCAACTTTACTGGGCTGGCCATGTTATAAAAATGCCTGATTTCAGAATCCCAAGAGCAGTAGTCTCTTCTAAGTTGTCTTTAGGGAAGCCTAAATTTGGTGCACCACAAAAGTATTACAAAGACACCCTGAAAAATATCTTTAGAAGACTTCAACATGAATACCTACACATGGGAGAGCCTAGCGCCTGACTGACTCAATTGAAGAGCAGCAATCCGAGAGGGCACAATTAATTATATGAGGCTTCACGAATTAGAATGTGACGATCAGTGTTCATGGCATAATAATCTGAATCTTTGGCATTACCCACAGATCAAAGTCTGATTCTGGTTTCAGGAACTTCTTTCATCAAGTATCTCTGTCTTTCTGCTAGGATGTCAGATCTCATCAGATTGGGTTATTCTTAATAGGCAGGGTCAAAGCAACCCCTATCTCACATTGCCTAAGTTGTATTGATAGGGAGGCTAAGTGGATGTTATTAGCAGGTGCTCTGATGTTGTTTGGGCCTTCTTTCCTACCAAACATCAGTCGTCCTTATCTCTCCTCATTTTTTCTGTATGTTAGTCTCTAGCAACACCTCTAATCTTCAGCATTTATATGACCCAATTGTGTTGAAGTCCCGTAAAAATGCTCATACTGAAACAAAACAGGGGTGCTGAAAAGTTACAGCCAAAATCCCTTACGTGACAGCATAAGTCATCCTGTCAGGTCGGAGTGCCCTCATCATGCACAACTTCTGCAATGAGGTCTTGTTCTTCCACTCCTGTGGGAACTTCTCCTTCTCCGGACACTCACTCTCCACAAACTTCTTCCAGCGTTTGGCGGAGCCCTCGATGTCACGGTCAAGATTACGGAACTCTTCCATGGCGGCCAGGGCCTGGAGACAGGAGACAAAGACAAAAACAAAAAGGCTTTAGTAAAACAAACATAGCTCATCAAATGCCTAAGACTTTTTGCTGTTGCTGCTGTTATTTAGGTTTTAGTTTTAGGCCTTATTAGACACAAATTTAAGAACATTTTGACATACAGAGTAGTACCCCATGAAGTATAGGTTATAATCACTGTCATTTCTCATCGCTGCTGATTGCCAGGTACCTGTTTGCAGGTGGTTCAACAAGAAAAAGGGCAAGCATTTTTTCCTATGGTACAATGTTGTAATCAATCAAACTATGGAATCACAATTTTCTTATATATAACAAGTATGAAGACATACCATTCAACTGGGACAGCCTTTCTTTTCCAGCATATCAAATAGAATTGTTCCCTCAAAAACAACCCATTCTCGCCCATTTCCTTTTTGTACCATTTATCATCCCCCCCCCCTATTTTTTGTTCCATCTCTCCCCTCCACCCACTTTTTGTCCCATCTGCTCCCCCTCCATTTTTGTCCAACCCCCTCCCCCCCTATTTTTTTTTCCTTCTTCCCCCCCCACCCTCCCCTTTTTTGCCCATCTCCCCATCCCCTCCCTTTTAGTTCCTTCTTTCCCCTCCACCTCCTTTTTGTCCCATCTCCCCCCCCCCCCGCCCCTTTTTTGTTCCATCTCTCCCCTACATCCTCTTTTTGGCACATCTCCCCCTCCCCTCCTTTTTGTTCCATCTCTCCCCTCCACCTCCTTTTGTCCCATCTCTGCTCTGCCCTTCCCCCCCCTCCCTTCCTATTTCTCTGAAACTGCAGTACAGACATCTTGATACCTTAATGCCTCCCCAGGAATTGTTGTTGAGGAAGTCCACGGGTGTGGTCAGATTGGGCACTGCTGGGAATCTCAACAGGAAGTCCAGCTCCACGGGGTTCAGCTGATTGCCCATGACAAGGATCTGAAGCAGGCACAGAGTTAAACATAAGAGAACATTTCACACAACAGGGCTTCAAGTTGGCAAACCAGAACAAACTCAAATCAAACATGATGAAAGTACTCTGCAGTAAAAGGTGAAACCACCACCGCAGAACAGACATAAAATAAAAGTAAACTTCAAAACAAAATACAAAAATGAGAAACCAGTTCATAAGAATGGACCCCCTCACAAAATACAAGCAAAGTGCCGCGAGTGAAAGAATCTAAAATTTTAATATAAATCAGTTTATTGAAGATTCGTGTAAACTACTTTTTAAGAACATTATAAACATAAGCATTGTAACTGAAGATATTCCATAAATATTACTAGCCCTTACATATTACTAGATCTAGATCAAAATAGAATGCAGCACATAGAAAAATTTCTGTGGATTCGAGCAAGACCCATCAGAATGTACAGAAGGTTATTTTGAGATATCAAAAATAGATTTAGCAAATTATCATTTGTATTGCAAATGAACTTGTAAGAAACATGGAAAGATAAACCATTTAAAAATCTTCATTCGCAGGAATTTTACTCAAATACAGTTTTAAATAATTCTTTACAAATTATTTTGAAGTAAAAAATTAACAAATTCTGATAAGATTTGTAACTTTAACTCCTGCAGAAGGACAATAATTGTCAGGCATATCTCTACTGTAACTTGCCAAATGAAGGGAAATTGTACTGAATTTCTAGGGAAACCCAGTGCATATGAATACTGTACCAGCAAACCAAGACACATCTTTTGTTCCACTCTCTACACACCAAGGACAAACTCTTAAAACTGTTTTCTCAAAAGTTATTATTTGGACCCTTGTGCCCTTTGAAATGCTATGACTTTATACAGTAAGTTCTGACTGCACCCAAAACAATGAAAAAAGCCAAAGAATGATGGAACTTTTTGACGCATCAAGTTTTCTAAAATCCACACACAGATGTTGTTAAGAAAATCTGGTAAAAGTATCTGATGCTTACCAGGAAGGTCATCTGAGTGCCAAAGATCAGCTTGTCTTTCTCAAAGAGACCTCTGGTAGTGTAGATGTAGACTGAGTACGTGATGCAGTCAATGAGGTTGATGACTCTTTGCTTCAGCTCCTCTGCTGGCTCAGCACGGTCGATGGCTTTGTCGAACACCACACTGAATGCCTGCACGAGTTTGCACGCATGAATGAATGAATGATGTGTGTGTGCGTGTGTGTGTGTGTGTGTGTGTATGTATGTGCATGGGGGAAGGGGGGGGGGAGTTGAGAGAGTATGTGTTAGTGTACATGTGTGTGTGTGAGGAGTATGCTGAGTTGTTTTTCTTTAAGTATTCAAGTACAATTTCAAGCTAACATTCACCATTAAATCACAACTATTGGTTGGTCTCTATTTTACAACAACAATGAACAAGCTACGATAACAATAATATAATAAAAACAGACATGATGGAAACAGCATTTTTACGTCAAACTTGACTTAGCTGAACCTTTATAGGTACAGCCCTTCTTTACACAACTGAATAACTCTTTATCAATTACATGAAGTTACTTATTACTATGACAGCAAACATACTAGGAGAAATAAAAGTATTGTTTATCTGAATCAGGTGAGAGTGTTTAGGAGTTGAATAAAGAAACCAGCTTAATCCATCATTTGTACCGTAATGGTTTGATATGCAAGTGAATTTGATTTCTTTGAGGTAAACATCTTTTATAGAGTACTTCTATTTTACAAGTAGAAAGTATCCAATATAGCCTGGGTTTATACTAATGGACAGGGTTCAAAGCATCATGGCTATAAAATTATGATAGAAATTGTGTCCATAGAACACTTATAATCAATGATTCCAATCAGTAAATTGAGCGTACCTTGAGAGAGAACTGGTACATGGGGTTGATCTTATGCAGATCATTCATGATGAAGTACAAGAGAGATGCTCTCGCAGCCGCTATACGGTAGTTCTCACGAGCATTGTTGATCTCCACCTCCGTGACCTTGGCCTCAGCAGCCTTGACCTCAATCTCTGCAGCAGTTCTCTTGGTGGTCTCCAAGTTCTCCACCAACGCGTAGTCACCCAGGAAGTTGCCTTCGGCCGCAGACAGACGTGCCAGGAGGTTATCCTCAAGACCTGAAGACATCAAGAGACATGAAGCGTTATTGGACACGTTACATCACAAGAGATTGTCATGAATGTCAAAATCAAGACTGCAAGGTAACTTTCCAAAGGAACTTGCTCATTTGAGTAAACAGACACATCAACACAATAATGGCCATTTAGGGCTAGGAAAAAGCAAGGAAGACAGAGACAAAAAGCAGACAACAGAAAAACTAAGACTTACAAATGGTGCTTCCAACCATCTCCTGCCAAACGGAAATAATTTTGGAAAACCATTAGTACTTAAACATATATAAAGAGATAAAAAATAATTCTCTCAAAGGCATTTTCCTCACATCTCAATCATTACAGATATTAGCTGTCATGAGACGTTACAACAGAACGATTTTTTTTGGTCAAGACAGTTGAAAATCTCTTGTCAGTTTAATATCCAAAGTGAAATAACCTGACAAAAAGAGAAATGAAGGATACAGAGAGATCATTTCTCTAAAAGGTACTTGTAAGTGTTTTTTTTTTCTTTACTCTTCTTGCCCGTATCTATGAGGTGATGTCCTGGTAATTATATATAGTTTGGCATTTGCACGGTTGTTTTTTTTCTAAGCTTTTGAGCTTTATCTTGAAATGTAAGAAACATTTTTCCAGACATAGTTAAAATAAAAGAGACATTTTTTGATAATTCCCAGTCTGTAACAAGTTTACAAAAAATGTTCAAGATTTCAAGAAACATAAAGTGAAACAAGAGTGGCATGTATAGTCCAGTAGATGCAGTCACCTTTGAGTGTGATCTTGAACTCGTTCTGCTGTCTGGTCAGGTCAGATTTGAGCTTTTCCAGGTCAGGTCTTTCCTTGGACACCACAGCACCCAGCAGCTGGTCTTCCAATCCGTCCCTGGAGGGAGGGGAACACAAAAGTTGTGGTCAGTGGGTGGGCACAATTTAGTGAGAAAGCAGTCTAAGATGGGACAATCAACAGGAGGCAAGAGTCCTAATATGACACAAAATGTAGAAGCACTATTGTCTAACAGCTGCTCCACTAACGATAACAACAATATAAACAACAATGACAAATCAACTATAACAGCAAATCAGCAAAGACAGTGACATAAACAACAAGAGAATAGAGTGAAAAGAAGAAATTCATTCAGAGTGACACTGGCCTCTGGCGTACCAAAAACTTCTAGAATCCAAATAGCTGAGAGAACCTCTGGTAACTTTTATAAACAAGAACAGGAAAACTCATAAGCTGGGTGCACATGCAGTCATTACATATATACAGTATATTGCTCACCATCTTGTCACTTATTTATAAGGTTTAAACAATTTGAAAAGCAAAACAGACAAAAAGAAATTTGTGCATTCAAAGTTCAACGTGAAATCCTCATATATTCCATAGAATTATTTAGAAGCAAACAAAACTGCTTTGACCAAATCCATAACAGATGTAAAGCAAAGATAAGCATTACCTCAGAGAACTTACCTGGTGACAGTGAAGTTGATCAGAGTGGTCTGGGCCTGCATCTCTGGCTTGTAGTGGGGATTTGCCAGCTTGGTCTGAAGGATGAGCCTGAAGTCCTTGTGGTATTCCACTTCCTTGTCACCCATCTGGTTTATAAAAAAAAAGAAATACCTCAGGAACTTGTCTAGTCTCAACTTTTAACTCTAGGCACATCCACTCACACAAACTACATTTTATTTTGCAGTTGGAAACGTGCAGCATGGCTCAAGCTAATCCTTACTAAATCTAGTTTCAGAAAAGATTCTTGTTGATTAAGAAAAAAACCCCTTTTAGAGAGTAGAAAATCACTCTAACTATAATACGATTTTAAAAAACACCCTCAGAAAAGAAAAGTTCAAGATTCCTCTGTAATGCCTAAATGTATCGTGAGGCATGGAACATATGAAACCATAAATTCAAAGCAAACATAATGTATGGACCGTTAAGAAAACTAAGGGGATATCAAATGCATTATACAACAACCACTGACTGACACAGTCACACTCTATGGTTGCATTTATACAATGACCTATGGAGACAATCTGGTAAAAACATATGTTGCATGTACACAGCAACAATTGACAGAATTTGGTAAAATCACAAATTGTGTTACCATTTATCACTAGTAACGTAGAATTGCTCAGTGCATTCACACAGCAACCCACAGGCATGCATAAAATTGCAAATTCCATGCTGACACAGTAAACACCAACTCCCTTAGGTTGCTAAAGTCAAATAACATTGCCCCAGACCCCATAGACACAGCCTGGCTGCCCCTCATGGTTCCATCTTCATCCCTCACATCCTCTCACCTTGATGGCGCGTCCCTTCTTGATGGTGTTTCTGCCCAGCAGTGGGTCAAGCACAGGGTCAACATTCTCCTCAATGTTCTCTAGGAGCACCACATCGCCTGACTGCACCGCACGCTCGATGGCCTCTAAGTATCCCTTCACTCCAAGTCGGATGACCTGTGGACAGACACAGCATATTAGGACATAAGGTGTCAGGTTTATAATAGGGTAGAAACAAGATAAGAGTGGATCTTCATAACTTTACCCAAGCTGCTTAGAAACATAAAAAGGTCTGACACAAAATCTTATAGATTCCCGAGATTCATTAGAAGACGGCTGCAAATGAAAGACATACCATTGTTTTTATACCCGTTTTCCAATGGAGAGGATACAAAAGGGTTGTACGTGACCATACAGAAACAATATTGTCAGAAGACGTTTTAACTCACTTAAACCTGAGCTGTTTTCCACCCAACAACCATTACCCCAGAGCCCATTGACACAGCATGGCTGACAGTTTTGGGGTATATTGAATCGTTGACCACAAAAAGACTGTGAAAGTTATCATAATAAAAGAAATGCAACAAAAAGAAATGCTCTTACAGAAAAAGAAAACTGTATCTACTTTGTCCAAATAGATTTTATTTTATCAATATTTTGAAATGGCAATGTCTGGGGGTTACACAATTATTTTTCGCTGCCAATATAAAATAAAAAGATCTTCTGCAATGTGGGAGTGACTTAGTTTTTTTAGTTTTAGTAAGAGTTTTACAGCACTTGCAACACCATAAAGTCATATAAGGGCCAAAGATTAGATGTGTTACAAGAGAGTAAATACACGGAAATAGACTCAAATGAGTTAAGTGAGCAATTCCCATTTCATTAGCCTTGTGCTCACCTTGAGATCTGCCCCATACTTGGTCTTGATCCACTTGATGCCTTGCAGCTGAGGATCAATCATCAGAGGCCACCTCTCGCAGTTTGTCAAAATGGTGGCATTCTCAGTGGACATGCGATCCCCAGGCAAACCCTCATTGTTCCATGAGGCGACCTGAGCATCATCAATGAGCAGGGTCAGGGGGTCAAGGCCCTCTGAGACTGGGATTGGGTTCTTGAGACCCTTGAGGTATGGCAGCCAATGACTGTCCATCAGGTCTGTGCGGTACATCTGCCAAGGATTTTTCAAGATTTAGTAAAAGTTTTAAAGCACTTGCGACAGAAATAGGTCATATAAGTGTGATTAAAGGCGTGACTAGAAAGTATCATACAAAGAAAAGAAGGAGGAGAGATATGAACGATAGATGTTTGAAAGAAAAAAAGAAGCACTAGCAAATGGCTTAATAAAATTGCTGAGGAGAGAACACATGGCAAGAGCAATTTCAAGTAATCTTTCTGAGAACAGATTTTGAGACCGTTGTCAGAGATTGCAAATGTACTGAGCAAAGAAAGATAATAGTTATAATTACAAAAATTTTTCTTGAGTAGACTTTCTAAACAGTGTAAATTTGATCTGTAGCAAGAAGTTAGAGGAAAATTAACTAGTAAAAAGGTCATGGGTCAATATGTGACAGAGTCCCCCCCCCCCCCCCCAAAAAAAAAAAAAATAAAAAAAATAAATTTAAAAAAAAGAAAAAAGAAAAGAGCAAATTTATACAAATCCTTGCGAGCCTTTGGTCCGCCAATCAATGAGGGTAAAAGAATAGGGAGTATCAGGGGTCCCTTATGGACCAAGCACATGCCTGAGAGTGAACTACCTTTTCCCTCCAGTGCACCAAAGGCGATGCCTTACTGTGCGGTGGAGCAAATCTATAAGGCGACCCATGCGGGCTTAGGTGTAAGAATTCTGTACGATCAAAGGGTAAACAATCCACTGGGTAAGTGTCAACTGCTGTTCTGTGAGCTGAAGAACCCAGTTTTAGTCATCCCATCAGGTTTACTTGGGCATCAAAGGAGAAGGAGATGGAAAAAAGAGAAGGAAAGAGGAGAAGAAAGGAGGTGGAGATGAACAAAGATCAACAACTGTGATAGATTATACTGCAAACACATTCTTGTACTCCTACCTTTGTGAAAGAGCCAACGTAGGAGACGAACGCTGTGATCATGAGCACATCACCTGGCAATGTCTTCTCATTCTCCTTGAAGTTTGCGATGGAGTCTGCCCAACGGACGTTCTCAGAGGCAAGTCCACCGACCAGACGGTTAGCCAGCTCGATGGTCTTGGCTGTTGTCTCTGCTTCCTGTTGGCAGCGCAGTTTCTCTGATGTGGCTTCCTCAAACTCTGCCTGACACCTGGGGCACGAGGTGACAGTCAAAAATTAAATCCATCCTTTAAGTTATACTGATACTTATAGTAACACAAATGTTGAAGAGGTACTTAAAATAAAAATGAAAGAAATAAGCAAGTGACAATTATAGTTAGTGACACTCATTGACTCTCAGACTAAAAAACAACAAAGATCATAAATCAAACCAACTCTTATGAGAAATCAGTTTTGCTATGAGGAAGTGAGGAAAAAACAAAAACAAATCGGAAAATAGAAGAACAAACAGACTAGAAATAAAAAATACACAATGAAGAAGTCAACAAAACTCACTTGGCTAGAGTCTCCTCCAGCTCCGACACTTTGTTCTTGATGACCCTGAGTTTCTCACGGGCAGCTGACAGTTCCGAGTTGGCCTGATTGAGGGCTATACGCTTTGGCTCAACGGTACAGTACACCTCATAGTACCTGACAATATTCACAGCCCAGGAACACAGACCTGCCCACAGATGGGAATAAAAATTATTTCCCATACACAAAAGTTTGACTGTTTCTGTGATTGAGTGTTGGAATAGTATATCTTTTTTTTGGTTTAAAAACGATCTTAAGAGGAATGACAAGAAGCCATTAAAAAAGACCTTCAGGAAATTTTGTTTTAAAAAATGGCATGCCCAATTCATTTACAAAGCAGATTCATTTTAAAAAATACATTACAATTTCCCCAAAAGCAGCTGTGTTAATATAAATGAGAAGCTCCCAGATGTAATGATAATTACACATCATTGGGAAAAGCTGAGACAACTGTCAAATAAATAGATCTACTCTCCTCTGCAGTGTTCTATCTGTCACCCGCTATATATATGTTTTTTTTTCCTTTTATAATCTTGTCCTGAAATCAGAATGACTAAACACGCTCCATTTCATTTTTTAAATTAAACTTTATGAAGCTGCAAAAGAAGTGTAACGTAATAATAGAAGTCTAAAATTACCAATGCCGTTATGAATCAATTCTTAGCAGGTGTCTGAAAACCCTCAGTCCAACATTACCATTTTCACTCAGTGCCTTACATAATTTAAGAAGCCACCGAAGCAATTATCACAAAATGAAGAGACCGGCTTGGAGAGACACAGAGGTAGAAGGTGCAGCTGAAGGAGTTGTCACAAAAGACACAAACCTGCAGCAGCAAAGGACTTCCCCCTGATGTTGTCAGGCTCAAACTCTGGATCAGCGAGGTAGGGCTGAACAGCCTTCAGGCAGTTCTCATGGATGTTGTCCTTGTCATAGTTGATGAGGTTGTCCAAAAACTGGTCCACCTGGACAGCGAGAAACACAAACAACAAAAACAAGCATGAGTCAATTCAGCATAACTGAACAAAAACTGGGCCAAAAGACTCAAGAAAACAAGTAATAAGTTTTAACAAATTACTCAAAGTAAGTCACGAATCACTATTTTTTCTTGCAACAACAACGATAAGCTGTTGGTGAACTTACAAGTCTTTTTTTTCACCATTATTGACCTCAAGACGTATCATAGATTAACATTAACGATAATAAACCAGGATGAAAAAGTCAGTGAATGCTAATTCAAAAAGGACATTAACTCTTTATCTCCAGCAAGCTGCTCCAAGCGGCTCACATTCAGACCACAACTTTCAGATAAGCAGCCACTGGGTTGTGGCTGTATTGTACAACACAAAAACTCTATTTTTTAAAATCTGGGCACAGTAATGCTGCAACCAGCATGCCACTTTTAGACATTTTTTTTCTGTTATGTTTTCATTCATGGTCTTGCTAAACATATGTGTCACAACGTGGTGGAATCAGGCGCTCATCAATTTTTGGACATATGGGGTCATCGGTATCATCTTAAAGCCTTTTCGTTTGTCTTTCATTTGGTGAAAAAATCCATCTATGTTAGATAGAAGTCGAGATATTTGCGATTGACGGAGGTCAGGATCGCTAGGTTTCAGAGGTAAAATTAGCGAGAAAATGGCCGCCAATGTTTGGTAATTTCTATAGCTTGACAGTCCTTGGAAAATGAAAATTTATATTTTTGTGTCTTTAATCAACATTTCTCATTAAAATCCACACAGAAATGTGATTTTAAATGGATGTAAAAGGTGTTGAGCCAAAAAAGAAAATTAGAAACTACGATGCCTCACATATGGACTGCTCAGTGTAAAACTCTGTCAAAATGGCGTATGGTAGAGCCTTAAACTAAGCCACCAATATCTTCCAGCACATACATAGAAAGCTATTTTTTTCTCCCATCACTTACTTTGTTCATAATGCTGGCTTTAGCAGCTTTCCAGGACTTGTCCTTCGGAACCTTTCCTCCAGGCGACAGAAGACACATGACAGCGGCTGTCACGTTGGTGACAGCAGGTGGCGGCGCACCGAATGACTTCAGCTCTGTCAAGTTGTTCTGCAGAGCACACACCCCAACGTGGTGGGAAACCAAAACATTACAATACATGTAAAAAGCATTAAACATGATCTTGCACTTTCTTTGCTTCCCTCCCTATCTGTCAGTTGGTCCATCAATTGGTCTTTCTGTTTTTCACACGTGTCAAACGCAAAAACACACACAATGCCATTATCTGTTTCTTTCTCTATCTCCCCCCCCCCACCCCCTCCTCCCTCTCTCTCTCTTTTTCTCTCTCTCTCAGTCTTTTTATTTCTTTCCTTGATTGTGTTCCCTTTCTTCCACTCCTAATTTCCCTCATCCCCCAATTTAAGTCTTTTCTCTCTTAATCTGTCATAACTTCAGAGCTTCCATATCCAACGCATTCGACACACATCTCGAACATTCCACTGTCCTTGTTGAGTGTGTTCTGTAATCTATATACTCATTTCCATTTTCATTTAGAAACAGCACTGATCTAGAACATTAAACTAATCTTGTGGAGTGTATTCCGACCAACCATGATCTATGTGTATGGTTTCAATTAAAAACAACACTAATCTAGAACATTCCACAGCCCACATTAAAAGTGTTTGGACTGGTTTTCAGTTTGGAAGAGCACAAATGTAGAACATTCTACTGATCTCGTTAATTAACACTTTGCCATCACAAGGCTCATATATATAAAACCCTGGCCATCAAAGGCAAAGGCATTTTGGGGAAAATCAAAAGAAACTGGGTGGTAAACATCGCCAACCAGCGAGATGTGACGGCAAAGTGTTAAATGTGTTGCTATAAACTATGACCTACATGTGTGTTTTTTGTTAGGAATAGCGGTAATTTAGAATATTCCACTGACCTTGTTGAGAGTGTTCAAAGCTTCTTTGGCAGCCTCTAGGGCAGGCTCTGCTTTGGCCAAATCATTCTCACAGTCCCTGGCCTTGATCTCCACCTCCGCTGTGATCTGAGACACTTTCTTCTCCTCCTCATCAGCAATCGTCTTCTCCTTTGTCACTTTCTCAGTCTCTGCACCGACCACCTGAATCAATTTGTTTGCATCCTCATTCTTGATGGCCAGTTCCACTTCTTGTGATGCCAGCTTGGATTTCAAATCGTCGACCTTGGGACACCCCCAAAAAAAAAGTTGAAATTTTCAAATTGTCACATGGTTTGTGTTTATAATTTATAACGACTTTTCAGTTGATATTTCTTAGCAAACTGACCTATTAACTGACTGAAAATTTAAGACGAAAAATGCAATAACGAAGCTGAAGTAGAGGACAGAAGAATTTAAAAATTTGTCAAACTAGAGCCCCTGAGCCCTGACCCCTCGTGTGCGACTCACCTGTGAGGCTGTGCTGCGCAGTTTCTCGAGACCATTTTCCAAACGCACAATGCTGGCCTGCAGCTCGTGGTTTTTCTTGGTGAGCAAGTTCTGGTACAGTGTGATCTGCTCCAAGAAGGACTTAGGTGTGGTGTAGTTATAGCGGCGCTCGTTGGACAGGAACTGCTGTGACACTTCATTCACTGACTTGTGCACAAAGGACATGAAGTGAGAGATCGACTCGCGCATATCGGGCTGAAATGACAACAGTGGTAACAGATGATTCTCAAGTCATGAAAACAGTGATTGACATCTCATCTGTGTTTGTTTCTACTTTTTATTTTAGTTGAGTAAAGAGAAGCATTTTGTGGCAATTGTGGTCTCTTAACAAAAGAAAAAAGCAAAACTAATGGACAAACTACAGAAGGAGAGTACTGAAGTAGGACTAACACAGTAAAAAGAAATGCTTGGTATCTATCATAGCTATGGGTGTTTTAAAATCTATGATCCATCCATTACAACAAACTTTTAAAGCCTGATTGCTTTACATGCTCTTGCCTCATCAACTCGGTTCACATATTTTAGGTGGCATGCATCTTAAGCTCTGCCAGTCAGGACCAATTCAATAGCGGTGCTGTGGGTGCTTGATACTGATTCCTTATTGTGAGTACAGAGGGTCTCTAGAAAAAATTAGCGGACCTATTTGCAAGCACTGATACCTTCTGCTATAGACCAAAAGTGTATCACTGATCACCCGGAGTTTGGTACACCAGGCGCTCATGGGACTGCAATTCATAGACAAGGAGTAGCTGTCTGACAGAATAGGCCTAGCGAGGAGTTGGCTGTATCAGAGTGTCGGAAACAGTGAGATAGCAAGGCAGCTAAATCTCTCAAAGAGCATATAACACCAATGCCAATTCAACTACATTGGCTCCCGGTGAAAGCAGGAATTCAGTACAAAATAATTGTTCTTTGTTTTAAGTGCGTCAACAACATTGCACCATCATATCTTTGTGACATGGTCATCGAATATATATCATCTCGGCCTTTAAGATCGGCGACGAAAAGACTTTTAAGACCTGTCCAAAGTAAAAGTCAGAGACTCGGAGGGAGAGCTTTTTCACACCACTCCCCCTCCCTGTGGAAAGCTTTACCAGCTCATCTACGGGAGTTCACCACTTTATCAAAATTTAAATCAGCACTTAAAACGCATTTGTTTCAGTCCAGCTTAAATCTGTAATTTCTGACATTCCCAATACAAATATTATTGTGTTCTCTCAGTATCTATTGTTCTCTCATTATCGTTTATTCATGCTGTTCTGTTCTGTAAGAATTTATGACTGTGAATTCATCAATGTGTGCGAGGGTGTCTGGGTAAACTTTGTGGGATTGTCTTTACTCAAGGATGTACTGGAGAGAGAGAGAGAGAGAGAGAGAGAGAGAGAGAGAGAGAGAGAGAGAGAGACAGAGACAGAGACAGAGAGAGAGAGAAAGAGAGAGAGAGAGAAGAGAGAGAGAGACAGAGATAGAGTGAGACTAGTGAGAGAGAGAGAGAAAGAGGAATACTATAGGAGCTGTGCGCTTCATATGTTCTTTGTATTATTGTACAGTGCATTGAGCAGTTCTTTGTGGAAATGCGCTATATAAATTAAATGCAATTTATTTATCTATAAAAAGTAAGTTAATGAGATAGTTTACCGAAAGCAGCTCAACATCCTCTAGGAAGCGAGCACTGACAGACTTGAGAGCCTCTTCGGGCCACTCATGGAACCAGTCAATGGATGTGCAATTGGTCACTGCAGGGAACTTGCGGCTACGCACTCGGAGGGTTGAACCCACGGGGGAGAAGCAAAGGACAACCTATAGAGGAGACAAATCAGCATCTTAGAGTTGATCATAGCACATTAAATAAGACTGGTCATGATCCATCATAGGATATATCATGACCCAAAAGCATTTTCATGAGGTTAAGTCTTAATTTCTATTTTTTTGTTTTGTTTTGAGAATGAGGGTTACTTTGCAGAATCATTTTGAGGATGAAGTCAAAAGTTGAAATGTTAGTATCTTTAGCTATATATTTTCCTGTGCAGTTCCCTCTCAAACTGATTTTATACATAAAACAACATCAAGGAATTAAAACCCCAAAGTTTCACATTATATTACTTTCACCAAGTTCTTGCTATCCAAGAACAGACAAAATTAGAATTATACCAGACAGACTACAGAAAAAAATGGTGCTTTTTTTTTTTTTTTTTTGGATCATGCAGTCAGTGCTATTCCAAGTATGAAAAAAGAACATTATTTTGAGTGGCCTACCTTCAGCACTCTGCGCACTCGATCAATGAAAAACCTCCAACAGTTCTCTCTGGAGTCTTCCATTCCAAGACCCTTGACTTCATTCCTGACACCAGCGATGATCTCCTCCACCTCATCATCCGCAAACAGGTCAGGGATTTCGCCAGAAGCCAATAAGTCGTTGATCAACACCAGGAAGCTCTCCTCTGCCACCTGAGCGTCAGTCATCAGGAACATGATACCGATGCCTGCGGGGGGGGGGGGGGGGAACACATATAGACAGGATGAAAACAAAGTGCAAACATGAAAGTGAGCTGCTAAATAGAAACTTAAATGATGGTTTGTAGTCTTGTACCCCTTTCAACCAAACGCTCACATGGCATCATAAACTCTTTTCGCTCGCGGATTTGTTCTATTTATGATCCTAGTATCCCCTCTCCCCCCTCCCAACCTGAGGCATACTGCATGTGCGCCTGTTGGGCTCTTAAATACCATAATTCCTATTTTCTGTTCTCTAATTGCTAATAAGAACTTACCTCAAACTAAGACCCATCCATACGAGAGAGTTCCTTTAGTTGTTGTAATTTGGTACGGATTTTAAAAAAAGCACCATTTTTTTCAGTGCTTCAGATGGGACTTAACTCATCTTTTAAGATCTAAGTGCTCAGAAACAGTTGCGGTAGCTTCGATTATGAAAACACAATGACAATTCTTGTAATACAAAGCCCCTTCACTCCTTCAATACACAAGAAAATTAAGGTCAAGTGAAAAATAGCTTTGAAGTACTCTTGTACCCCCCTCTCTCCACCCTCCATGCATCCCTCCTGATTCCCTGCTTCCTCACCTTTGACACCGGATTTGCGGTAGAGAGCTGCTAGATCTACCTTCAGATCTGGGATTGCGTATCCTTTCCTCAGTGTGATCTGATGGTGGCAACATGAAGGAACACGTGTGAGAGATACAAGTTTACACAAGTTTCACACAATCAAAAATATTAGGTTACATAAATAAAAAATCTGACAATATCGTTTTTGGTCAAACTTTAAAAAAAAGACCAAAGAAAATGACAAAAATAACAATGAAATTAAAGTATCAACAAAAGAATCAGAGAAGAAGGGGGAAAAAAAGAGATCAGTCCAGGCACCTCTGTTCAGTTTCCCTCTACAAGAAGTGCATCGAGTCATTGTCCATATGACCTCTTCGACTCTGTAAATAGTGTAAATGCATTTAACAGTTCTGAGTGTGACTGTAACAATAATCTTTTGTTCTGTTTTTCTTAATTTGTTTTTGTAAATGTATGTATGCCATAATCACCCAATGCTCAAGAGTGAACTCTTTTTCTTTTTTCAATGGGCTATCCTTTACTCTTTGAATACATAAAACAAAAAATACACTGTTGTCTATCTGTTATCATATGATTGCTGTTGAACAGAAGTAGACGATTCTTATAAGAACTAATGCCATTCTATGAGTACTGAACATGGCATTGTGGTTGAAAGTTTACTAGCTGGGCTCAAATGCTCACAGGCAGCATGATTGGGGTTTGATCTCACTAGGGGGTGGGGTCAAGTTGGTCAGCAACTAAGTGTGACATTGAGGATCTGCTGTGATTCACACTGATAAAATATCCACAAGGAAGTCCTGAAATGAGTTGAGCTGTAATCAACAATGATTATGATAACTAGAACATCCCCCCCAAATAACCAAAATGGCAGCAATACTGAAGAAAGAGGGAAAAGCAGACCCCAGTGCTCACTGCTTGAAGTCATAAAATGTCCACAGTCCAAAAAGACTAGTTGCGAGAGGAGATCAAGTAGGCAGTTTAATGATTATCTGTCAAAAGAATTGACAAAACATTCATGTATTTCTCCCTTTTTTCCCTTTTCTGCAGTGACACCCTTTGACCCCCTATGCCTCATACCTGGAACACCTCCAGCCCACTGATGGATGCGGCGAGACGAGACAGAGACTGTTTGCCACTACCGCCCACACCAATGAGCAGGGCGTTGCCTCGAGGTGACTCCAGGATACGGTTGATGCGGCACACATGAGACATGGCATCCTCAAAGAGCACCAAATTCATGGCTGCATTGAGCTCATTGTAGTTGTCAAGGGCCTCGATGAGCACTTTGTTCACATCTGCCCAGGTCTCCACTGGCAGGTACTTGGGGTCACCGATGCCTTGGGCAAAGTGGCAGTAAATGAGAGGCTGCTTGAAGATGACTTCCTCAGGGAGATCCTGACATGCAAACAATGACATAATTGTAAGATGAGTGTAAACGTCTGGTGGAGACTGCTTAAACCGTTTTAATCCAAACATGACCCAAAAAAAAAAAAACGAATGAAAAGAAAATCCCCAATTTTTTCTTTTACTTCAGCAAAACCCGACAGTCCTATAGACTTCACCTTAAGTGGGCTCCAGTGTATTAAGCACCCATTGACACAATGAAGGCTGGATACAACACTCAACAAACCTTACAATGCAATCTGATGTTTGTCTGAATATTACACCAAGCCATCAACAAGGTACAGAGCCAAACCAAGGCATCACACACACCAGCACAACAAAGGAAAGACATTCTTAGAATGATGATGTTACTAAAAAAAGTTTAAGTGATTTTTATTCTTTTATCAACTTCTACAGAAAGAAAAACAACCCCCCCCCCCCCTTGCCCTCACCATGAAGGAACATTTACAAAGGCACTTTTGTACAATGTTTAAAGACATATTCCATATCAAAACTATTTAAAAATGCAGAATACCAATCTTCGCCTTAAACGCATATTTGGTAGGACTCACAAGTATTAACTGTAATGGAGTGGAGAGGATCTGTCAACATAAGAAAAGAAAAAAACCATGATCCCACCTCAAAGCATTTCTTGACAATGTCCTTCTTGAGCTTGTCAAACGTCTCCATGTCCTTCTCATCCACCAATTTGTCTCTGTAAACTCTCTCAGCCTCATGCAGCCACAGACGCACCAGATCAGGTGGGGTCTTGCAGCACTCCGCGCCGGCAAACAGAATGCCCTGAGAAGGAGAAGAAAGGTCAATTTTTATTTTACTAAGGAATCTATTCTACACAATATACCTTTTAAGTTACTTTGACATCTGATGAAGCTTTAGGAACCTTCACATTCAAACTTCTACATAAAACACATCAGTGATGTTCATTAGTTTTTATTCCCCTCCTTCATGCTCTCTTTCTTAAACAGCATACCAGACCTACCCC